CGAGACGGTGAGTCTTCTGGGAAAGGGAACAAGCCATGCATGATCGATTACGTGAATTTCGTAGCAGTTCTGCTTTGAATCTGTAAGTGTCTAGAAGAACTTCATCCTAGGTCAGACGCAGTATTTGAGGCATCAGTTTGTGGCACCACTATTGGATCGTAGGCTGTTTGCCGGCACCCACACCAGAAGAGGTTAAAGCCGTCGAGTTATCAGACAACTCTTCGCCCTCTTTTCGCTTTGATACGCTTCCTCTGCAAAAACTTCCCGTCCTCCATCACATTGAGATTTCTGTTGCGGATGTGAAGAAGACGCTTGCATTTTACGAAAACGTAAGAAACTTGCTGCTGTGTACATAATTCGTAGTTGATTTTTTCGAGTGCGATTTGGCAAGAACACAAGGGAGCATATGCTTGCCATTTACCGGTACCAGCTTGTGAACCCCTGCTTTTGTCCCTTGTTGGTGTTGCCTCCTGCTTATTGAATTAGCTGTTGTAGGCTTTTCTCTATGAAGCCTTCTGCCTCTGCTTGCCTCTGTTTTTTTTAGTTGAATTCTTTTCATTGCCTTTTCCGACATGTCACAGCAAGTTGTGAACGTTAATTAGCGCGTGCTCGTGCATAGGTGTGTTTCTATGCATGATTTCTGTGTTTGTAGGTGTTGGGGATGACGCTGATAGACAAGAAGATAGCGCAGGGCTTTGGTTTCACTCTTTACTTCCTTTCACTTGAAGCCCCAACAAACATTTCATTTCATTACTGGTTGTGGACCCAGCGATTCTCTACAATCTGCATTAAAGTACGAATAAGAGGATGCATGGCCACCTACGCGTGGAAGAGATCGTGCCCGAGTCACCTAGTGGTTGCCTCTTTCGGTGATTGCCTTGTTGTTTGCTTTTGTCTTCACTGCCTTTTCCTTTAATTTTGCCTTTCGGGCTTACATTTCTTGTTCTTGGCGCTCAGGCCTCGTTAATATTGTCAGCGTAGAGCTTTTTGTCAGTACATTTTTGTGCTGCTGTTTTCCTCCTATACTGCATTCGTCTGGATTTTGATCTGCCCGTGTTCTGACTGGAGAAGAGCGAGCTGTTCGCACCATTTGCTGCTTTTCAAAGTTTTTCGATGGGTGCAGTTACAGAACTGTGGATGAAACATGGACATCGCTTGACACTTCTTTCGTTATTACTTCTTGCTTTGCGTTGTCTTCAGGTACACACAGATGGTACTCCGGTGAAAGACTACGAAGACCTCCAGCCACATGAGTGCGGCTTTTTGGGCATTTCATTTCTCTGCGCAGAAAGTGAAGGAACGACCCTTCTTAAAAGAATAAAATCATACAATATTAGAGTTGATACTGTCGATGACGAGGTATATGGACAGCAAGTTCTGTTGCTAAGAGATCCACAAAATATTCCAATACGTATTGCACTGACAAACTAACACCAAACTTTATTAAGTGCGCGGCTAAATAGTCAAAGTATACTGTAGAGGCACTGTATCTCGGTGGGATACACATAATGTCCAACACTCGCATTTGGCTTTATGGTTGCGGGACTGTGCATATGCAGTAATTGCGTAGAGTAAAATTACGTTAATGGATGCCTTAATGTACGTACTGTGTACTTTTTAGTGTCAACTTACGTATATTTTCAACTAGATACAGCAGCTCGCTGCTTGACGTGTTCTTCGCGTCTCAGGATCTACCTTCTATGTAAATTTTTGTCCGTACCGAAAATACATCCTCCTGTGGCACTGAACAAAATAGCGGGCATTGAGCGCGTGGTACAACTGGCTGCAGTGATTATTAGAGGCGCAGAGTGAAACGAATAAAGATACTTGACAGTGATAGCTGCACAACAATTGCAAGATTGCATCGAAGTCGCAGGGCCTCTTTGCCTTGGCCTTGACGTTTGCTTCAGATCTGTTACACTCCGCACAGGCCTAATGCTCTCACGAGACTTGATTTAGTCCCCACATTGAATCCCTCACAGTGGGGTCTGTCCAACAGCTGAAAGTAACAGAAGTGGGTTGACCGAGACGAGAGCAAAACGTAGCGTTCAAAAGGCGCACTTGTTCCGCACGAAAGGGGCATGCTAGTATTGTTTTCCACTTTTGTGCCCACTTGCACCGAGATTGAGAAGAGCACTGACGCTTTGGCTCTCGAACTGACGCGTTTGGTCTTGAACATTCTCCGTAGGGTGTATCCCGTAAAGTGAGCTCCTTCGATGAGCTGAACGGATTACACACTTTTGTATAGCAATTGGGAATTGGGCGCGTTACATGAGGCGGCGCTCCGTAGCTGGTGTAAAACCCGCTTAAGCGGACCGTCTGCTAGGGCTCAACGGACGTGACTCCTGTATCACTTTGTTGCATATTCTATAGGGTAAAGTTGGAGCAGATCAGAGGCTTCCTGCACATCGTGGATCACTGACGTCCGTTCTGGACGCTGGAGCTGAGCTCCAGCGTGCAGAACGAGCTTCAGCACACCTTCAGTTCACGCCTCTGCGCTCTACAAGCTGAGCGTGTTGTTTCAACGTGTATAGACGACGGTTGCTAAAGAAAACAATGTAGTGAAGTAAGCTTCTGTATGGATTGTTGTGGTGATGGTGTTGAGCTGAAATCGTTGGGCATTTCCTGTACCAAGTGCTGACTAAAGGTGAATATGCTTTTGAAGGCGCAACATGCTCGACTATGCACCCAAACATGCAAGCTCTCCACGTATATGGGTGCTGCGGCAATCAATATGCTTCTACCATGTTTCAATGAAGCTTGGGTATGGCGCCTTGTACAGCGATTTACATCGTTGTACATTTTTTTACTGGATTGTTCACGTAGGCCAAGCTAGGCCTGCTTGGATGCTGAAAGCAGATAGCCGTACGGCATAAGATGTCAAAGATGCGAAACTGTTTGGCCCTGCGTAGTCATGCGCCTGTCTAAAATATTGAGCTTTGCATATCTCAAGGTGTAGACTTTTTGTGGTGAAACTACGAATGGTTCACTAAAACAGTTTAACTCTATTCAATTGCCATTTTTGCATGGATAAGCGCGGTAATTCTACAGCTGAAATGCACGGTTTCCTGTAGAGCCCTGGTGGTTTACTGTAATCAAACGCTTCTTAGTGGCTGCTTTTTGGCGGGTCTTGAACCTGTTCAAGTTTCTGACCCATCAGCTTTCGACGGTATGCTATTGGTCCACTGTGACAGTGACAGTGTGTATTGTGTACAAAACCAACACACTTTTGTGGTGCCTTGGTTATTCATAGTGATTGAATAAATCACAGTTGGTTCTTTTGGGTCGGCGGTGAATCATTAAATTGTCTGGCCAACCAGCTTCTGACGGTATTCTAGTGGCTTGCCGTGATATTGAGGGGAAACGGTGAGTAAGACTTCGATTCGTGAGAGGAAGCCTGAGAAAGGTCTACCACAGCTAAGGAGCATGGCAAGCGCATGGATTACCCAGTGAAAACATTTCCGAGATACTGAAAGAACAAAACAATAATGGGCAGTTGTTGCAGTTAGAAAGGTTGCCGTTGGGTAAGCCGCCTCAATGCAGGAACGCGTTATGGAGTGGTCCGTAACATAGCTGTAGCAGACAAATTTCTAAATACTCGTGCATGCTGGCCTTCTAGACGAAAGAGGCTCTGCGTAAAAAGAAAGTACAAGCGTGAAGCAGTACATTCTAGTGCATCTCAGAACAGGCGTATTCTATGCATCTGGCGAGAATTGCTGTAGAAGCAATGGCGACTCTGTTCCAACCCGTACGCGACGGCCCAGGCATGCATTGCCAAAACACGTGCATATCTTGGAAGAATACGGCGTTTCTTGTTCCTATTAAGCAGAAAGACTGTGCCATAACAATTCTTTTGAAGCAGTATATTACGTTCAGCAGGCTGGTTGCAAGTACCTCACGTCTCCCGAAGAGAGAATACCCATGGCTCGAAAATACGTCTGCGTAATACACATTTATAATAGTAGTCCTGTATCTGCGGTTAGTCCATTATTGGCTACTAACGAGGACAGAACGGAAGATCAGCCGCAACAACAGGGCTCGAGACTCGTTTGAGACAGATGTGTTTTCAGGAACAGAAGTGGGCTTTGCTCCGCTGTCAGTCTGCATATTGGCAAATTATGCACTGCAAATCAGCGGCCACCACATGAAGGCGAGAGCGAGTGTGCATTATCAAGTATTGCGGCGAAAAAATGGCCAGCCACTACAGAAGTGGGTGACGCACAGTCTTCACTCAAAATCTGAATTCGTCAAAAGAAGAAATGTAAGGCAACCTCGATCTAAGTGTATGTGCGCGACGAGGCAGCAGCGTACTGAAGGGCCTGCCCAAGACAGACAGCGGGCAGTGGCTCAACATATGAAGATCAATGCGTTACACTGGACATCCATATCTGCAACAGCAGTAGTATACAAAGGAACTGGAAGACGCATCGCAATTTGGTTTACAAAGGGACTGGCAAACGCATCTCAATATTTTGGCATGCTTGCTCCCGCAGGTCCTCAACGAGGCTGGTTCTTTCCGCCAAGCTCTCGCCCGGAGCACTGAAGCACGTGCTTGCTATAGTTTTGTAGGGGCAAGGGGCTCCTTCAAGCGCAGGTCGTTCCTGATGTATGGCCTTCCAACTGAGCGTACTTCTGATAGCATTTTTGTCCTATCGTGCAACCCGTGGGGAGGCGGAAGTTACATATCTCACATATCAAAGAAATGCGGCGTAGACTTCCGCTTATCGGGAATATGCACAAAAGCTCGTCAAGAAAAGGACCCCGCTCCATTGTGCTTGCTGTTCAAGCCAGTCCAAGGCGTTTTTAATGTTTCTTGTGCTCTAAAAACATTTGCTTAGCCAAAAAGACGACATGGTACACCAAAACTGGGCAGTTGGAGTGACGTCTCCTCGCTGCCCTCATGCCGGGTCACCAACTCCTCAAGTCTCGTACATAAACGGAAAGCAACTACAGAGCAGGAACAAAAATAATTTTTTGGCGCCTTCGTGGAACAACGTCGGTTAAGAATCATCCCCCTTGCGCAGACTTCCTGTTGAGGCGGGTGACTGTTCTGGGTTCCAGAGCAGACGGTGGCTGTATAGGCTACCTTCCTTCCTTCTCGGGAGCGCTTGTCTACGTGCCCTATAGTCATCTGATGCAACGCGCCGGAGTTCTGGCTTGTCTCCAGATTCATGCTCCGTAGGGCTTCGGTTTCGTGCTGAGCCAAACTTGATGCGGTGAGGCAGTGACTTTGGTGCACTCGAAGATGCGTTGCTTTTATTTTCCTCAAGAGGCGCTTTAGATGATCCGCCGGTACCGTGCCTATCTGGCTTCTCTAAAGGCTTTGCGACGCCTTTGCCTTGAGTCCCCGAGCCTCTTGGCTGGATTGATGAAGCATGCTCTTCAGACGTGGTAGCTGCTAGTGGAGCTCGAACCGTGTGTGAGAGTTGCGTTTTCTCAACCGATTCTGAAGCATGGCTGTGTGCAACAGGTTCCTCGCTTGTGCTGGGCGGAGGCACTGAGGACATTTCTTTAGTTCCATTTGACTCACTAAGTGTAGCCAGCTCTTGCTCTTCTGTGCTTTGATGTTGACTGTCTTCTGTCTGTTCACCTGAAGTAGACAAATCGATTCCTTGAGGCTCACTGAGCTCCGTCCGCCTAGCTGGCATCTTTACTGCTGTCTTTTGTACAGTCTTATGCGGACGAAATTCGTCTACTGCCTGTTCAGGTTGACCCTCTCGGTGTACGCGCGGCGGAGGTGGCGGTGGCGAGCTACGGGGGTAGGTGTTTGCCTCCTGCTGTGTGGCATGTGTTTGTCCTGAAACACAGAAAAGGAGTCTGCCAACAGTGTCGCCCGCGCTTGTTCGCAAGCAGAGAGCCAAGCGGGTGCGCATTGCAAAAATGTGTTTCGTGAAACTGTGGGACATTCAGGTCCTTTTCGCCTAACAGAAAGGACCAATAAGCACTCCAGGGTCACGACGGACACTTTTTCAGTCAATATTTGGGCATGATAGCTAGTACCTTCCTTGGGTGCTTCCGAAGTTGGGTCTCCGTGCACGTTACTGCTGTCACGTTCTCCTGGTTCCGAGCGTTGTTGCCGGTTAACGTTGCTATCACCACCACTCCCGGAATCATTGCCATGAGACAGGGGCAGTGTGTACATCGAAATGAGCACCTCTTCGTAGGTTTTCGGCTCCCCAAATAAGGGCGAAAATTCCTTCATATGCGGTGGTCCAATGTTGCCACAGTTCTTCGCTATGCGCTCCTTGTCGGGGTCTATTAGCAACCTGCTATCTTCAATGCTCTTCACTGCTTGCAAAAGAAGGAAGTGAGGTTTCAAAATTTGGGGGAGGCTAGTACGTTCCCAGCTTAATGACAACGCAGCTCTCACGAGACTAAGAGCCTTTTCAGAATTTCCCTGTGCTCTAACTGCACAAGTCAGTTGTTCTTTAAAAAAATATTCAGAGAGGGCAATGCTAAGCGCTGCCCAGATATGAATCTGAGCTAGGCGCTCCTTTGATTCGTCTCGGCATCGCGCTAGCAAGTATTGTGTAGTGCGGGAGCTGAAAGAATCGCATCCAGATTCCGAGACGTCCAGCAAGTTATTCAATGCATTGCCAGGAGACACACTGCTTTCATGAATTTCAGTGATGGGGCGCTGGGAAAGCATCTGCTGCAGAATCAAGGCTGCAGAAAAACAACACAATTCGGTAGAAAAGCTCATTCGTTGAACCACGTCCGTCGGGAAGAGCAACTTATGTTTACGGAGTTACTGCCTTACAAGTGTTTAGCAGCACATCCAGTCACAAAACATTACGCATGTTTTTATGGGTTTACTTGGTCAGCCTACTTGAGTCGATGCACCATTTCAAACATTTTTGCAACTCCCTGTCTTTTCCGACGGCCGGGTCCTCTTCCAGCATCAGGCTGAATCGCCCGGACATCCATGCAGCGCTGTCCTCTGACATGCCAGCGTCTGAATCCTGTTCCCCGTAAAAGTTTAAGTACGCCCTTCGTAGGGTGCGGTAAGTATCTAGAAGTGCAGCTGCCTGCGTGCAAGCAGCCATCACCTGGGGTCCTCCAAGTGCATCGTCAGGACTGCGCTGACGGAACGCTTGCATGAGGGCCCTTAACAGGTGCTCTCTATAGTCCAATGTGGAGGTTTCTGGGAGGAAATGATTTTGTGAACAGCCTGAGCAGATCAAGATGCAGCGAGTCGAATGAAGGACCGTTGAATTCTTTCAATAATGTACGCGTTGCTCGGGAGCATAACTGCAGAAATCTCGACAGTTGAAGGGACGTATGCAAGGCCCCCATTTCTTCTCCAGGAAAACGTTATCCATAATATAAAATGTTACCTGGAAATTTGACAAACAATGGCCTCGCCGGCTGTCCTAGAGTAGCTGCAGAGACGGCGCAAAACGTCGCTATGAGCATTTCCCGGGTGGGGTTGCTCATAACCCTCACACATTCAATACAAAAGGGCAATGTGCCTGCAGTAACGACAACGTAAAGGCATCTCACCTAGAAATGCAAGCTTACCGACAAAACTGCTCAGCACAAGGATCTCGACAATGAGGCAACGCCTGGCCATCATCTGGAGCAGGACAATATCCGTTGGCAGATAACAGGAGCTTTTCAGTTCAGACGTGATGCGTCGTCGTGCGCACTGCAAGAGTAAGACGTGATCCCGATATGAGTCATTACAGTCACTGCTGTCGCATGGAAGTAGTACGAGGCAAGGGTAAGGCTGGTGGCCTCCTGGATCCGTTAGACCATTGGACACTAGCTAATGGATTGTATGCTGTTGCTCCTGGTTTGTCCTACCCTTGATGGTTTCAAGCATTGAGGAAATATACGTATACTACCGAGTACTTCCTGGCCGGTCTAGTGGTTCTTCAGCTGAGAACTTCCGGTCTCCCTAGACGCTATCAGTAGACAATGCCATCTATCAATCTAAAATTTTAATAAAATTAAAGTAAAAAAATCTGGGATTAAAATGCCAAGGTGGTCGCCGCAAAGCCCACTTCTGGTGGTCAGAGGCAAGGAAGGACAAACATAACGACTTCTTCAGCCGGCCAAACTTGAGGCGGTCTCTGCATCGAAAGATCCTCTAAATAGAATTCCGAGTGATATGCTTTGCCAAGAGATCCACGATTAACGGTTTTTCACCTCCGTCTGCTAAATGTGCATCCTTTTAGCGCTACATGACATGTTGCGTTATACCTTCCGTTCTGGCCACCTAGCGCCAACGAGAACTTTCATTTCGGCTCTTATCACTCTTCCGCATCAAATGTAGAAATATCAGCATTTTTGTTGGTGTGAGGTTGCTTCTAGTTTTTTTTTATATATTGTGTGATCTTGTTAATGACGAGCTTACTATTGTCCGATGGTGCCTCGGCCAAGTGGTCTCTGGCGTTTCCTCTACACTGATTCATGCATACTAGCTTGTTCTTCATATATAGACTTAAATCAGCAGTGAATTTCTTCTATCATCATGAGTGGCTAATGTACACGAAGGATATGAAACTTGGAGTTGTTTAGCAATGTGAAGTCTTAACTGGCAAGTTCGGGTGCTCCCGTCCTAAGAATCAGCTGAGCTTGAGGCTACAAATCTGATGACGAGGTCACGAGTGTGCTAATAGAACGTGAAATGATCAGTTTTGCTTTGAAAGGAGGACATGGATACTTGCGTAGTTCATTAGTTGGGGAGAGTAGAGCACTATGTGGCTGGCATTCCTGGCATTGCTCCTTTGAATGTGTGTCAATTTGCTAGAGGAAGTCACTGGATGGAAAATGATGTCACAGCTGGTGGCAGATATGCAAAATGCTAAGCGCGTTTCTGGGGGGAAACTGAGCAATAAGCGAGTCCGGTTATTTACCGAATGCTGCAGACACGCTTCGCCTCCTTGTGAGGGGGAGACTCTCTGCATCGCAGCGCTAAGACAATAAGCTAAAGCCCACAATGCTCTCAACATTAAGTTTTCCATCCCTTTAGGAGAAAGTGTTGGGTGGAAACAATCGGAAAATATAAGCCCTTGCCATCTTCGAGCAGGACAAAAAGGCGTGCTGGTGAGGGAATGCCCTGAAAAAAGTTTAAGGTGTCCAGCGCGGATCCTTTATAGGTCCTTCAAAATAAATATCAGGCTAAAATTAGATTACATTTCCTGATCACCATTCAATTTTTTCTGGAATTAAAAGAAGGAGAGTTTTCGTCATGCATCCCACTGCACATCTCGCCAAAAGAGACTCGCCAACACAAGGCGAGCTTGGAGATCGCCTTTCCTGCAGGACAAGAAAACTTTGAGCACGGGTCAACGGCGCTTCAGCGGCCAAAAGTGGTTATAGGCATACCGGAGGACAACGAAAAAAGGAACTTCTGTTTAGTGAGCAGGGAAACCACCACATGCGGCTGCTCCACCTCGGCCAGGCTCCCACTGCACCGAAAAATAGGATAGAGCTCTCCATATGGTATCTATCCATGCTTCAGTGTTGTGCCGTCATCCACTGTTTGAGCTGACGCACTGACCAAACCGTCCTAATGTGGCGCTTGTTACCCCGTGCTTCTAAGCAGTCACTGTTCAGTGCTGTGATTTTCCCTTAAGGAATTACTCCTGAATACAAGCTATTGAAGGCTGTGGAACTATTTTTTCAGGATGTCTCTGACCTATATGAGGCATCGCGTGGTGCTCGTGGGATTCACAAACACGCATCTTGCGTAAAATATGCACAATGCTGGAATGCACGGGTTCTTAAGTTTTAAGTTGCATTATGTAATGAAGGCTTTGGCCTTGGCTAGCAATCAAGTGCTGATACTCCCTGTGGTATGCAGAAAACGCATGAAGTATCAGCACTTGGCTGCTAGCCATTTATATAAGGCTGGTTGTCGAACTTTGCCGATTAAGCAATCATTAAGCTGCTCAACGAAGACCACAAGCAAGTCGAAGCAGCAACTATGGCAAAGATATTCAACGAAGATATCTACGAGAGTATTGGTGCAGAGATTACCTCAATGTGGAGATTTGCAGCGATATTAACCAAGGAAGCTCATGGCGCTCTGTTTTTTTTCCCGTATTAGAGGTATGCAGAATTAGACAAAAGGAGTGCCCATGCATCTGTCTGTTCCTTAGAGCCGTAGTGCTGCACATTACACGAATAGTTAAGCATTCTTTATCCTTTCGCAGGAGTTCCTGCTTGATATATAGCATGATACTTGGTGACAGGACGCCTCTGCGGATTCCCCCTCATGTAACCGAACTGCGGGGTTACGTTACCAAGCTCACAGCAAGATGTCCGACTAGTATTTCTGCTCCACCCACCCCGCCTGCGAGTGCTCTACTCCCCTAAATAAAGCAGCGCCAGAGCTATGGGCAGGCACACACCTTTTCCTGTCGAAGAGAGGAAAAGGGGTTTCATCTTCCTATGTTGAGTACCTTAGTGTGAGGTTGCACGGATTCGTTAGTTTAAAAGACTCACTAATGAGGTCAGAGATGAAGACAGATCCCCTCACCTGAAATGATAGCTCTGTTCAGAAGATAAAATGCTTTCTACAGGAGAGCAAATTAATGAAACAGTAGCTGGATGATTAGGGTGATGGTTTACCTAAATGGACAACGAAATGAAAGCTGAGACCTGTCTCAAGAAATTGAGTGCGAGATCTGACTAATGCTGGCCTGTCTAAACCCAATATATCAAGCAAAGTTCGCATGCCCTTTTCACCTGAACGCTTCACGAAATGCATGCTAGGCCTCTCATTTAACAATTTAATTGCAAAAACTACGTATAAAAGAGGCGAAAAAATGATAAGATTGGGGGATTATGTCTAGTAACTCAGGAAATCCTATGACGGCTCAAGTTGCTGGAAGTACATTCAATAAACCGCACAAAAGGCTCTCATTATGCTCACCACCCACACATTGGTCTCGAGAAATTGCAGCAACGCACCTTCGTAGTCCGCCACCAGTAGGTACTTAACCAAGATACCTTTCTCTACTAGCAATTTTTGCACTGAGGAGTTTTTGCATTAATAAAACAGGGTTGCAGGAGTGGGAGTATTCCCAAGAGACACATAGGTGTCTTGGCATTGCGTTGCTGCGATTTGTTTTATTGGGCAGCGCGCTTCACTTCATACGTGCAGAGCTCACAGATGCGTATAGGGGCGTGAAGGTGCAGGACATTTGCAGTACTACCTAATACCCGCTAGGATACTCTCTGATGGAATGCTTCATCCGCTTGTTGGCAAATGACTATCTACGTCTTTTAAAGAAGATGAAACGATATACGCAGGACCTATTCTTTCCCGTTGCATCGCAACCGAAAAACCCTATTCTGATTCAGTCTACTGGCTCTTCTTGCTTCTTGCTAGCCCCTGGACAGCAGGCCTCACTACCTTCGATGGGCCTCTGCTTGTCATCCAGTTGCTTTTTAGGTTGTGAAGCTCAAGAATGCTAGTGAACGAGGTCCCACTAGTGCCATAGTGGCTGCAAGAGGTTGTTGACCACTTCGCGACTACAGTGCTGTGGCCAACTAAGTTCTTGTAAATTTCTTCAGTTGAAAAATGCCGACTTTTAGTGGGGATGCGACTGTGTACATGTGAGCTTGGTTTCCTCTGAAACAGTGTACAAATGGCATCAGGTACAGTGTTAGGAACGCATCTTCCACTGAACAAAAGCAGCAGACCGGGTACAGGGTCACTGCCACTTACGTGCCTGGGGTTTCAGCGGGCCTAATGACAATCCCAGGCTCAGTGACACGGCGAGTGTCTCTAACAGCTGCATACTCAGCAGTGCACAAGGTGCCCGTGATGGATGAACAGTTGTTGCAGAGGACTGTCAAATATGTAGCATGAGCGTGCAAGGAGATAGGCATTTTACGGAGTGTGCGATCCCACGACGGCAGTGAGAGGAGTTATGGACTGCAATCCAAGGCGCATCGAGAAGCACGAGCTGTTACACCGGGAAAATAAGCTGCAATCATGCAGAGTCTTGGGATGGCAAGGAGCTAATATCGGGGAGATGGCATGCAAAGTGAAGGGGAACTCGGCCTGCAATGCTCCGATGCCATTTCTTGCCACTCTTGTTTGTTTTAGAGTACAACGCCACCCCATCAGTAGTTGAGGCTTTAAACAAGACTGAGCTACTGGCGACTAATTGCCAGCCCGATGTGAAAAATGCGAAAGGACCACAAGTAGTACCTGCGGCCCAATACCATACTCGATTACATTAGCTAGTTCGGCGAGTGGCTGCAAACAGTGTGTTTTTAGACAGTCGCAAGTGAGTCAGTAGATGCAATACATGGAGACTGAATTACGCTCACAAATGGATTTCGTCTGTTTGTGGTTGAAACGCCTTCAAATCATCCAGTTTGCTATCGCCTGGCAAGCCTTCCCTACGTACAGTTGAAATGAGTGCTAAAAAGAAAATTCGTGTGTAGAAGATTAGTTACTATCCCGGGTCTTTGCACTGCTAACAAAAAATTCGGTTAACTTCTAATCCTGAGTAGCCTTTTGCCCTGTGGCCTGCATGCAACAGTGCATTGGTAGCCCTACATTGGGATATGTGAAATCCAGGGAAATTCTATTGCAAGGATGTGAGCTTTGTGCTTGCTAAAGAGTTGCTTAGTGGATTATTAACGTCTTTTTCCCTTTATTTCAATGTGTCGCAAGACATGGCATTAGGATACCATTTCGACCCCTTCCGTCATTCCGATGTGCACGCCTCAGTCATTCGAGCTTCATTAGCTACAGGAAATGCGTAATATTTGTATAGCTGAAGTTTAGTGAGCTCATCTATGTTCACTGGCCCACCGCATCAACGGAAGCTCAGTCAACCCCTGTGCTGATAGAGTGGATTTACACCGCCGCCCTGTGTTGTGTTGAATGGGTCTTGTGCGCATCCTCATTCCTGATGTAACAGTTTTTCCATCTAAAATTTACACAAGGGACAACAGAACTAGAGTACTCATGTGAGATGGCATCTTCTACCCCTTTTAGATTACTGAAAGCCCCCCCGGTGCCTGCGCCAACAGGTCGTCGCCCAATCGGCTTTCGCGGTACGCCCATTCTTCACACGCCAGGAGCCAGAATTATACATAAAGTCAGTTGTCCCTTGCACAGTTTTGTTTTCTACTGAGTATCTGCCTTTGTGTTTCACCAAATTTAAACAACATGAGCCAGTTTTACGCTGCAACTCAGGGAACCATCAACATAAAAAGGCTCTTTATGATCCCGTATTCAAAACAACAAAAGTGAGGAAACTCCTAGATCGTGTGTTTTTCTCTTGTGACGACTCATATACAGCCCATTAACGTTTGCAAGTCACGCGTCTTCAGTTTCCTTTGCTGTGGCTCCCTGGACATGAAAATTTGCAAGAAAACGTTGTTGCCAGTCACACATGCACTTCTAAGGGCTCGATATTTTTGAATTGACAGACTTATGACTTGATGCGCGCAGGTTCCTTCCAATTTAGTGCCTCGGTTCCCTATAGATTGGCGCAATGGGGGTCGCGCATTGTTGGTGGCTGCTCTCCACAAGTTGGAGGGGAACTACCGTATATTACAGAATCAGCAGCCTCTGCTGCATTTTCAGGCCCCCCTAGATCCAGGTTCACTTGCAGCAGCAGGGGATAGCTCCTCAGGGTTCTGCTCGCTGGAGACGCTTACTTCTTTGGGAAGGCGGTGCAGCGCCAGAGCAGGCGCTGCTGCTGGGGCGGCTGCTAAGCGACTTGTACTGAGACACAAGAGGTCATTGCAATGGCAAGAGGGAGGCTTTTGCAGCAGTAGGTGCGGCATGACGTGCAGCAAAAGCCCGTGGAGGTGTTTGTGCTCCTGGAGATGTAGAGGCGTACATCAGCATGCGAACCGAATGGACGCTATTTTGATGAGTCACAAGGGACGGGTAGAACCAGAAAAGCCTCTTTTTGCTGTGAAGAGGGCAGAAGTGGCCCCGTCTAGGTAAGGCATTCGCGTGCATCCTAGGTCTATTGAAAGCTGCAGCCGTGCATATCACTGGTGGCAGAACGTGAAAAAATTGGCCCAAACGCTCCGCATCTCCTTCTTGTCCTTTAGGCTGCCAAGCGAGGGCATGATATTTTGCGCTCAAGGCGGTGGATATGTTTCAACTAGTGAGAAATTGCATCCTGCTTTCGCTGAATACGATGCAAAAGAAGAACGGCATGCAACCGCGGAGCAGCGGTCTCGTGCAGTTTCTTTCGGGGGAGAAGACTCAGACACTGACAGCGATCATGAGGAGTGCACAGACGAAGAGGCAGATGAGTTCGTGAAGTTTATGTCGGGCGTCGTGTAAAGAGGCTCCTCCATAGTGCTTTCGCTTGACATTGCATGCACGCATCCACTGCCAGTTACTCAGATGTTACGGGAGCAACCTGCCCTATACGGGAGAATGTGCCGCGCGGCAAATGAGCGCCCTTGTACGTGTAATTACGTGTATGTGCACTTGATCCCTGTCTAGGTGGCAAGCCAGTAATCTCCAGAGGGAGCTCTTTAGGCGTGTTTTTTTCTAACAGTGCATCAAGTATAGTGGTGTCTTTACCGTGGATTTAAACGCGTGCCTTCCACACGCCAACCACTTGAAAATATTTTTAGCTTTAGTTGCATTCAAACCGAATGCCAACAGTCTCCTCAAAATACAACACGTTCAAACGAACGCGTTGTGTTTGTCCATAGTGTGCTCGCAGTGTGCTGTTACTTCATGTAAGGCCATGATCGTCACTAGCTAGCCCCTGCCTAGGACCCATCAGACACATCATGTTATATGCATTAAAAACGGCGAGTTCAAAAGGTTCACGGCGCCCTCATGGTACACACAGGCTTTTCATAAAAACCTTCCGACTGCGTACACGGCATAGCGGTGGCCCTTCGTTGTGTGCTTGATGAAGAAGCATGCCAAATTCCGCTCTTTGCCAATGATGCACGAGAAAAAGGGAAAACGAAGTATTTGTACTGGCGTCACTTGCGGCGGTTGATGAGTAGGAGAAATCCAAGACCCAGTAGCCGGTATCTGCACAAGCAAACCAGCTCTGCAAGACGCACTGGTCTGCCTCCACAGAACAAACACTCTGTGTATCGTACACAAGAGACGCATGAATGGCAGTGTTTTGTCTTTAAAGTGCTTACAGGATGATCTGTATCAGAAGCATCAAGGCGCTAAACCAGTACGAGTCCTGATCTAAGGCGTAGTACCGCAGTACCTGCAAACGAGAAAACGAACGAAAGACCGTGCAGGAAAACGAGCAAACTGGAAGCTTGCTGCGGAGAGATACCTAGTACGAACAAAGAAGGAGACGCCTAGAGATTTCTGAGCGACATCAGTGCATTGACGATCATTATGCTTCGTCTGCACATGAGTAATGATACGCTTAGTTCTACGTAAGAATTTGTGAAGCCGGAGACCTGTTCTCCAGTTGAGTAGCACTGGGGAGGGAGAACTTCGGGCGGACACGGATCCAACTCAACTCCCTCTGTTATGACAACACAAACCGAAGGAATTACATGCCTTTCAAGCTCGCCCATGGAGGTGTACTGCTATGAGTGCCTGCTTACGTGGAACCGCCTGCAGGCTGAGCTCTTTGCAGTGGCAGCTCACCCCAAACTGCGTGCATCACTCCAGACCATCCCCAGCGGAAAGGCGAGATGTACTACACGATCAATGCCAACGCACACAAGCAGCCAACAAAAGCTCTTCAGTTTGAATCGCACACAGCGTCTCGTCATTTCCAGTGGTTTCCGGTGGTTAGCCCTGGCGCCTTCACATCCTAAGATGCCCGCTAGCATCAAAGGTTCAAGAGGGAAGATCCTTCTAGCTGCATGTGCCTTAAGGCGCTCTCTTCGCCCTTTTCGGCAAGGCACGTGAAATTTTAGTTTGCTTACCTGTAGCCAAATCCAAAAATTTGGCATGTTAGATAAAATAACCATGAATCCGGACATGAGGACAAGGGGCATGAACAGTATGGGTATCATCGTCGAGGCGAACTGCAGCTGTTGATAAGCACGCAGTAGCAGGCGCATCTTCACGTGAAGCTGGGCATTTCTACCTTGGCAATTCCTCGCATTTTGCATAAATAATGAGCGGGCAGGGCCGACTAAATAAGTAAGGGCGGTATTCGCCGAGGCACGAAACTACTCTGCCACTTAAAGGTCCGATACAATCCGTCTGGGCTGTTCCACGGAGACTGGGGAGAGTCGTACATGCAGTAAACTCGAAAATACTATGACAACTACAATAAAAAGCGCAAACAAGTCATTCGAAGACGCAACCGTGTCGTTCTGTTGCGGGCATGTCCACTGTGTGTTCGCTTGGCAGTACACATACGCGAAGCTGAATTTCCAGATACCATAGCGCGAGACTTACAGTAGGCGCCACACTGGATATTACATAGCCAATTGAAATGGCACTATTGGTTGCCAGCAAGATGAACAGCAGGCCCAGCAGCCAGCGCACTGGTGCATCGTTCAGGCCAACCATGTACCATGCAATGCTGAATCACAACACGCAGGACGAAGATTCAACAGTCTTGAGTTATACACTCTTTCTCATCTGTGGGCCACTGGACCTTTACATATCGGAAACACGCCAAAAAATTATATATTCATAACTGTCAACGTGTCACTAAGTTAAATATGAGATACAGCTCAATTTTTCTGCTCGCTGTACCTTTTCAAAAAACGCGTTAGGCAGGCAAAAATACGGGCTATGTGAAAGGTGCCTTCACAGGCAATTTAGCGAATTCTTACGTTGCGAAGACTATAGGAAAAAGCATCTGCAGAGAGAAATCGGCAATAATTTTACCGCAATAATACGAGGTAAGGCGGTACAGACCGGCCTGGTACTCTCGTACGGCCAACACCTTGTCGCTGGTGAACGTTTGTAGCACAGAAACCATACCAAGGCTTCCCTGCAATACAGAAAATTCGCTTGCTTCTCCAGATAGATGCAAATAGCTTCTCCTTGAGACACATGCAAATGGAATGGATAGGCAATTGTGAGCAACTATATTCATACTGAACTGGCCCTAAAAAGCTTCGCTGCGTCTGAGTCTCTCCCGTGCGCTATTGCCTCTGTCCCTAATCCATGAGTGACTCTGAGCGTGTTGTCCTTGGAGTGGTCCTTTTCCCTGCACACTCCGACGTTACGCTAGGCATATATACTTCGGCATACCTGATTTAAGACAATGAAGATTGTGGCGCCGTTTCTAGACAAGTAGTTGTTTGGCGCTAGACGGAGAAAAATCAGACCTGCTATGATCGAAAGCGCTAGGGTCTGCACCACTCGAGCCTGAAATATTCTCGGGTTTCGACTATTGCTGATAAAGCTTCGATGAATCAAGGTAAATAATTCCTCGGACCTTCAGTGGCACAAGAGGACAGCACAAGCTCGTCCCAGAAGCAGTACTACACATGCATTCGAAAAGATTCCACAGATGCACAAAATATCTAAAAAAGTTCACAAACTCAAGCTGAACTCAATCTGTGCACACTGCTCACGGCTCACCAGCTGGGCTTATATTTGTCAGAAAGCTCCTTCGCTGGCTCTAACTCCATTTCGACGGGACTTCGCGTCTCTGTAGAAGTTCAAGGAAAAACAGCAAGTACGTTCAGTTACACCCATTAGGCAGGAAACGTCTGACTGCAGCAGAGATCTTTTGCTTCGAAATCCACCAGTGGCAGGCTGCACGGACTGCATGCATATTCGCCAGTTGATATTTTTTTGCCGGCACAACGCAATCAGCCACACAAGCCCAGCAGAAAAGCGGCTTAACACATTCTGCGAGTATGATCTTTGCTAGCCGCGCAGGTCATAGAAGTGATGGGTGGCCGATTGACAACTGGAAGAGGCGTCTCCGATCCATGACATCATCAAAACGAAAAAAAGGAAGTAGAAAGAAAGTGTGAACAATTGACCTGTCTTGCTGATTTCAGCATCCTGAAGTGGACACAAAAAGAAGCAGCCAAGCAAGAGCTCAGCTGCGCCCTAAAACATATAAGACTTCAGAAAGGTCGCTTTCGAAGGGTTTCTGCTGCACCACGGAATTCAGGAGACATAAACGAGATTAATGGGCTTTGCGAAACGATGCATTTTGTGAATATATGATTAAGCAAACTCCGCAAAATATTGCAAACTGCAGTGTTTTCCTGCTGCAAGTGTCACACAGCTACACAAACAGTGAGCTGTGCTATGTCAGCTGTCCCATTATAAGTTTATTTGGCATAACTCAAATGACGCAAGCAAAGCGATGGGATGCTCTTGAAGTATATCGGTCCGCGCAACAAAACTTCAACGCCCCCAGCTTGCTTCATGCGCTGCCGCTCTTAATTAACGCTGTTGAATGTTGTTCACCTGTCCACCGTGGCCGCTCTGAAAAGCTCCAGCATCCTGCATTGCCTGGATGTGCTTCTCCCGCACATTCGCCTGAAGAACGAAGAACAAAACAGAGGGGAGCGCAGAACAACCGCAGCAACGGTCTCCCCCTAGGTGCCCAAGTACTTCATCATAGGTTTTCCTTCTACCATTAAAAAAGAAGCGTCGTACACACATGTGCGCGTCTACTCACCCACTCGGCAACAAAGGCAACACCTGTGTGTTTCCACCGTTCTGCCAGTCTGAAGAGCAAGCACCACAGATACTATCTCACGGACACTTAAGATAGGGCAATATAAACGTACAAAAGCGAAATGAGTCAGGCGCACCAGTAAGTTTGTAGAAACGCAACGCACGCTACTCCTCCAAGTGCCGTCTGTCGGCAGAATGAAGCTGCTGCGCGAGTGTGAAATGTGCGTAACTGAGTGCTGATAGGCCTAAATGCCCCATGAGCACAGCAACTTCAGCACGTGCCATTTAAATAAGTTCACAGCCGATTTCAGGTACGTTCTTGCTGGGGCGAATGCCGTATATAAGCCGATAGGACCAAAGTTATCACGTACAATCATGTGCCATTAATGAATGCGTACTTCTCAGGAGTTAATTCAATTGCATCGTCTGGTTGTTTGCCTTGTCTGAGCTGCTGTTTCACAAGCAACTCAAGAAGGAACTCTGGGACACTGGTGAAGGGTGGGCACGGGAGGCCCAAACGCGAGAAGTACAACAGAGTCGCCTCGCGGTCTCCGTAGAACACCACACGGCCTTGGCTAAGAAGAAGCACTTTTGAAAACATATTGAATATATTCGAGCTCGGTTGATGAATCGTGCATATAATGGTTCGTCCTGCAGGAAGAGCAGGTGCAAAAAAACAAATGAGCATTTATAGTGATTGCACTGGAACCACGCACGCAAAAAAGACAATCCTTCCGATCATCCTTTTTGCGTGCCTAGCCCGACGTGTCACGCAAAATGCGAAAAGAGGCTTCGGCTTCGTTCCAGCTCAGTAATTTTGCTTCCAAGATCCACTTGAATGTAAACGCACGAGCGCAGGCCCTCTCACCTCGATCTGCCAAGTGTCTGAAGATACGCATAACATTCTCGGCTATAAATGAGTCCAGGCCGGTGGTTGGCTCGTCAGCAAATATAACAGACGGGTTTGTCATCATCTCCGTAGCAATATTGAGACGCTTCTTCTCCCCTCCACTGATGCCCCTAAAACCACATGGATGATCACAAAAAAGTAAAGGCAAAATGCTGCAAGAACGATAAAACACGCTCGCGTATAACATTTCTGCAGAGTAAACAGAACAGATCTTGTGCTTACGAAGACCAGAGATACATCATTGCGCCTGCAACCTCGCAAGCTTACCTCTTCGCCGCCATCTGAATATTTCCAATCCTCGAGTTTCTGACTTTGGTCAGGCCATAGAGCTCCACCAGACGATCAACAAGCTTCGACCTCTCTTCCTTCTTCCATCCAGTCCGCAATCTTGCCTGTGCCATTCGCAGAAGACAAAAGCCGCAGATACCGTGAAACAGCAGCAATATCCTACTCAAAGACTATACTGAGGGAGACAAATAAGAGCGCCTTCGACATGTCTCGCAAGTCCCTGTCAAAACGTGCACTGTCTCTTGCTAGTTTGTGGAGCTGCTTGCGCCCTAGCGCAGGCTTCAGATGAAATACAAGGAGGTAACATGTAGGAGTACTAAGGAACACACAGCGCGCCCCCTCTCAAAACGGCGAGCTCAACCCACCACGCAGTCTAGATGCTCCTCTACCGTTAGGAATCCGTAGAATATATCACTTTGTTGTATGTAGCAGCAGATTCGCTTCACTTCAGCGGGCCCCAGCGTCTTGCCGTTAAATAATACAGAACCCCCATTTGTGACGATTCGACGACTCAAAACTGCGCGCAGCCCGGAAAAAAGGATAAATATTTTCTGCACGACCACATACACGCAAGTGTGCTAATTAAACTGTAATGACCCCTGCATGCAAGCATACAAGTTGAGCTGTGTGCAACCCTCGCTCTATCCACCTGCCATACTGGTATGTTTGCTAGACAAGATGAAGTCTTGTTATTGAAGCAGCCCTTCTTTCGCAAGGTGCAACAGAACGCACACAATAAAGTATACGCACCATTGAGAAGAGTGGACTTGCCCGCTCCGCTGGCCCCCATAAGTGCCACTGAAGACAAAACGCCACAAAGGTAAATGTCACAGTGCCCAGGGCCACGCTTGTCTGCTCTAGTCTGAGGTAGGGTCTCAATGCTGTTAATGAGCTTCAATATGAAGTGTCCCCGCATCATTTTCGAGTAGTTGCATAGCCAGCGCACTAAGTTAACGAACAGTTGCTCTTACCCATCTCTCCGGGGTGCACAGTCCCACTGACATCCATAAGGAGCGTCTTGCTCTGAGGAGGAGTTACAGCACGTGCAATCTGATTTATAAATGGGAGAGCGAGCACTCCGGTGAACCTCTTGTGGACGTTCACCTTCACTGAATATCAAAGCGCAAAAGACAAAAGGGCATGCATCCATCACCGCGTCGGGAAGGTTTCCTAGGGCAATCTTACGAACACGATAGGAGGTTTCTGTTCAGATGCGTTTAGGCGGTCCTCTCTGCAAGCCAGCTTCTCCCTACAAGGCGTTTAGACACCCCAAAAGTGGAGCTCGCCTCCTCAAATGGGTCCCAAATGCCAGATAGTTCCATGTACACTGTGCGTGTTGAAAGCTTCAGACTTACGAGACAGTTCATCAAAAGATATTGTCACAGGCGGACACGGTCGAAGGTTTTTTAGACGCTCGTACGTTAGGTTCTGCTCATCGGCATCAGAAGGAGGTGTAGTTGCACTCTCCGTCACGGCTGGCACTTCTCCATCGCCGCACACCGATCTCCTGTCTACAGAGCTGCGCCCACTCTTGAGGCTCTGCATGCTGCGGCGACGAAGAAAAACCTCGGATGCCGCTGCATTTAGAGCCTCGCAACAGTCCCCAGCTCCTGCTGCAGGCATGGCATTAGATATGTGTCGTAAGACCTCTTCCTGAGACGCTGGCATCTCCACAAGAAGACGAAACGTGAACAAGTGCCTTCTTGACGCTCTTTAACAAACGCAACACACTGGGTTTGATGCAGAAAGCTCAAAAGGAGATAACCTTAAAAGGGTCCAGCTAACCGCCTCCACGGCGACACGGAGCGTAGCAGGCTCCCGCCAAAAGCTTCAAACTCTGGCACTTTCTCTGCAATGAGAGTTAAACTACAAAAATAACAGTCAGAGCCCCTTAATGTGGGGCTGCAAAATAAAAAAAGATGCCAACGACCCGAAAGACCAGCAGGACTCCGGAAGCCCCGAAGGATGACGCTGAGAAGGGGCTTCTTCTGAGATGCAAACGTTCATATGTGCAAGTTGTTTAGAGCCTCAGCACAAATTTTAACCTATCGTGACACAAAGACTGCTTAGCTAAAATCCAAACGCACTTGGTTCAAACTCCTCGTGTCTTTGCAGACTCGCCCTGTATTTTTGTTGGGCCATGCTGATACCATTGCTCGCTGGCAGGGGAGATCTCAACCTGCGAGTCTTCGAATAGTGTCTTTTCAGCTGGATTTTATTTTTTTATGGTGACCCGGAATCCAAATGCAGCTTACCGCGGAAGCGCACTGCCAATGTAAGCTCTGAATCATTTTCCAGGGTTCCACATCGTCGGCAAAGCAGGTAAAGGAACTGCACTGAATCATACGTAGGCATCTAACTGCCTAGCTCAGAATCTTGGATTAAGTCGCACTAGTGCATGCATTTCGTTGTACGATCCAGCAACGTTCAATGCTCGCATTGTCTTTGTTAGACGTTTCTAGAGGCGGCGGACTTGCCTGAATGCAGTGTACTTTGCTCTGCAAGAACAAGATGGCATCACGACTCATAGGGTGCTCTCATTTAGGTCATTGAAAACGAATTGTGGGACTCTGCTGCCAGTCAGCATGAACACCACAGTGGCTGGTGGCTGGACTAGCACACTACACGGTTTATCTTGCAGACTGCCTTGGTCATTGCACATAAACAGAGTAGTGGTGTATTATTAATACAAGAGTAACAGTAGCTGCTTGGATTCAAGGGACAAGCTCAGGGCCGCGCACTACAGAATTTTGTGGGGATCGGAAATATTGGAGACGCCAACACAAGAAGAATTGAGCGGCAAAGTAGCCGACAAAACAGTGCTACGGGAAGATTCCGAGGGTATGCTGATTTCGTGTGACCCATAAGACTGAACGCAATGCAGGCAGCAATTGAGAAAACTAGGTTTTGCGGGACAACAACTTCGAGCTTGGTCGCTCCAGCAAATTCTTCGATGAGACAGACTGATGGATTGTTAACCGTCTCCTGGAGGCGCCCCACCTCAACTGGCCGCCGTAGCTGTGTGTACAGTGTAGCTTCCACCTCTTATTAGACGGACCTATTTTGGTGCTGACATATCTCCCTTTTCGGTTTTTAAATGGAGACTCGCCATACCGCTGAGAAAACTCTCACGTAATAGCCAACTTCATTTTGTTAGGGAGGTTTTAGCTCGGCCTGAGGATGGGGAAAGAAGCCGAGCGTGCACGGAGTCGCAGTCGTCTTTTAATGGTAGCTCGGTCTAGGCATCGATGGAGGGGGAATGCTGCGCTCTTCAATAAGTAATGTTTACGAGAAGAAATCTCCTCGAACCGTAAGGACTCAATTTTGGACGCCGGGCATGAAGCAATTGCTTGTAATGTGCCGAGAGATTCTTCTATATACACAGGCCCTGAAGTGGAAACAAAATCATCTCCTTCGATTTCCCATCCATTGACACGCACTGGGTACCCAAAAGACGTTTCCTTACAAATATCTTGACTCGTTGGTTCCTTCAAGTGCGTGTGCTGTCGAGTTCATATCCGAGCTAGCAAGTTTTTTGTCTCAACCTGGCCATTCATTAGGTGCAAGGGCCGCATCCAAAACAGCTGAGTCTTCTGGAGGCATGTCTGGCTCTTTTTTCAAGCTAGCCTGTACTATATTTCATCCTGTTGCATAGGCTCTACTAGGTACTCCTGGACTGGCTCTCACACGCCTTCATGTGGCTTCGCGGCTCTGCAAATCCCTTCTGGGGTGCATCATATCATATAATAGTGCGTAACTGGGGCGCATTGCCGATCCGAAAGGAAGAGTTTGAGGATGCAGTGATAAAGATACGGGTGCAGGGGATCAGTAACTGCGTGGGAGCTTGTCCAACTGCGGGGCGCCGTCGGTGTTTAGGTACCGCGAACCCTTGGTAGCAGTGCAACCAGCAATCAGCCCAGGCGTTGTTTGTATGCTTAATTACAAAGGCTTGTGGAAATTTACTATGGCATTCATACCGACGAAGCTTTTTTTCCCTCCAGATCTCCTGCCTGGCTTCATGTGAGAACAAACACGTCGTGGCTTCTATCTTACAGCTTAACTTGCGTCTGCGCGCTGCCGGAGGCTACGCAGGGGTATTCCTCCACGGCCTAATATTTCGCAAATAAGACGAAAAATATCTTGGTTGAACTCTGATGCTACACCGACGTAAACTGATGACGGGGTGCTTGATTCTGCTGTGTTTGTTGTCTGTGATCCTGCCATAGCGAATACTTGTTTGAGCACGTTATGACTGTTACTGTGCGGATGTCGCAATTAGGCGAAAGAACAGATGATATGCTAGACCCAGCAAGTCCTCTCGAGCAAATGAAGGAGGAGTGGGGCTCGCTTGAAGCAAGCCATTTCTCCAGCTTGTTGCCCTAAAATCACTCCCTTCAACGCTCACCAGATTTGCCTCCATTCCGCCTCCCCTCGCACCACGCACACCAGAGAAACCCCGTCAAGTTCTGCCGGAGAGTGTCCAGATATATCCTGTCTCTGCTGATGGTTCGCTTCACCACGAAGCCTGCTGTCTCCTTGCAAGCCTCCTGTGCTGCAGACCGTCTGCTTTATGCCACTAGTCAGCTTTGCTCCTACACATCTCACCCGTACTCGCGATATAGACCCACAGGCAACAATGTCCACTCATGGCACTGGCTCTGCATTGGAAGGGTTGAAAAATCATCAATCAAGCTATATCGTATCTAGGCCTGTATTGCTGTGCACGACAGATTACGCGATGATGCCCCCACTCGCGTGTAGCGGGTTTTGCGTTACGGACAGTTTGCTACAAACTTTTGCATACCTTTAACCTTGTTTGATAAAGTGCTGCATAAACCGGAGCTGGTGGGCCCCTCACTTAGCGGGATCTTCCTGGCGCTCAACAGAAAAGCCGCGTTAAGATGTTCAACGTAGCCAGCAAGGCCGATATATGTATGCTATGTACTTTCATATACAATTTGGCCCCCCTAATTCTCCTGTCAGTAAGGTGGTATTCCCTATTCCGGAGCGTTGGGCCATCCCCGCGCCGTGGATCCCGCTTTCCTCGATGGCCATGCCACATGATGTTTTCCATTTCGTCCCAATGCTTTGTTATTATCCAGCTCTTATACTGAAAGGATGTTTTGCAAAACCATGCGCTGCCTTGAATTCGGGCACGCCCATAGTCCCATGAACTCCCCCAGTTTAGTAGCAACGTTCAGATAGGAGCAAGGGGCTGCTGAAGGTCCAGTGGTCCAGTACTGCCAGCTTGTGGCTTGTAGTGAAATACACACCTCTACAATGCAGCCCATGAAAAACCTTCAAGGTGATGTAATTTGTTTCATGAAGAATGACGACAAAGAGCGAAGCAACTACCGTGCATAGATATTTCGTCGTTGGTGGGTCAGGCGCAGTGTGCTCTGCAGTCCAACGTGGGTGTTGAAGCTTGCAATCGGCAATGAAGCTGCATTGTCCCGGACTGCCACACACGGAGGGATAAACGTCCGCGGTCATAAAGCTAAATATCTAGGGAAAACGTACCTCCAGTGAAGATGCTTAGACACTTTCACTGCCTCGATAATGTCTGTAGTGAGCAATGCTACCTACGCACCTATCTCGGCTGAATATCTGAGAGATATGACTCACCTACGTTACTGCGGGCAATGTCGCTGGTGCTGCCAACAGCCACATGCCGCATCTGAAAATGAACAAAGTGTTGTTCAAGAGCCTGAGTCTATGAAATAACGACTTTCTATGCCCCAACACGTGTTTCTTTGCCTTCAGCAAAGAAAGACAGAACAACACCTATGTGACCAGCCAGGGAGCAAACGTATTGGCCGAGCTGAGCATTGTCCGAGCTGGGTGTTCCTCACTACACACCCCGCACCCAGAGTCGTCCAAATACTAGTTACCAGCGTCCAGCCTATAGATAAGCACTAATTTCACATGAATCACCTCGCCAATGCTGGAGCAAGTACAATCCGAAATAGTCATCTTAGCTTGCCCTAGCACAAACAGATTCTCGGAGCTCGCTACACTGCGCTGCAGGGTGGAAATCCGTTGCAAGGGACATGCCGCACCAGTCTGGATCCCTCCGCACTAGCCTGAGGAGAGATCTAATAATTTTTCCGCAACAAATTCCGTTAAGCTAATACCAAACTGCTTCTCGTGTTCAAGTAAACCCCATTTGCTGTTTTATCGGATAAGTGAATATGACTGGAGCTGATTCGGGCACGCTCCGCGGAAGATTGCAGTGGCTGTCCAAGCCAATTTTTTTTCATGTTTCCTTCTGCAATTCCTCACCTGAACACTGTGCATTTGATGAGCCGTCGTCTTAGGCATTAAGTTTTAGTAGACACCGCATTTCATGTCAGAAACATTAAGGGTAAGCTGGCCTTCCGCAATATATAAGTTTTGGCGGCGCACATGCCACACCGTCATTAGCAGTTGATGGCATGAAGCTCAAGGCGCCGTGAATTTCCGCCTTACTGGCATTTAAACCTGGCTAGCACACGAGCTTGCGAACGTAGCCTCTTTATGGGCTGATTGCCCAGGGGATATTCAACGAACTTCTCTGTCTTGGCAGTTCCTTGGTGTCTGCCTTCCTCACGGTCGCTTCTTCTGGATGTCTGTGTCAAATCCTTCATTTTAGGTTTGTCGCGTCAAAAGCTGGCTTCCGTTAGAGGCAG